TCACCAGCTGGGCCTGGAACAGCCTCCAGTTCCTCTACCCAGAGCAGGGTCAGACCCGTCCCACTGGGCCAGGGTCTGAGGACTGCAAACCCTCCCCAGCCCCGTCACTGCCCGTCTGCGCTAGGGCTCCTCTGCCCCAGCAGAGCCTCTGGTGTTAGCGTAACAGATGCCTGCAGCCCAGCAGGGCCAGGGGCCGTTCCCAAGTCTGCAACGTGGATGAGCGAGGTCCCCAGTGGGTGTCGATAGCTCTGCAGCGGGTGCAAATCAGTGTCACTCCTCTGAGGCTCCTTTCCCTCAGCTGAGTCCCTGCCCACCCCCACGCCAGTCACATGGGGCTCTTGCTTCATCCCCGCCCCGCGCCGTCAGGGCAAGGAAATAGGCAGTTCCCCTCTGCACACGATGTGCACCACACACCAGCGTCTCTCCAGCCCCTGAGCTGAGTGGTGACCACGCCTGAGGCATGGAGCTACCTCTGCTTCTGCCTCTGCTGGGTAAGTGCCCTGCCTCAGCCCCTAGCTCTGTGTCTGTCTGTCTGTCTGTCAGTCTGGAGACTGCCCCCTCCCTGCCCCACTTGCCCCTCTGCATCCCCAGAGCCCTCACCCCCTCTCTGCTCTTCTCTTCCAGCCTCGCTCCAGAGTCTCCCCCGGTTGGTGTCCCCCGCAGGTAACGAGGTCTCCTGGCCTCCCTGGGATGCTGGTGGTATGGTGGGAGAGGGGAGAGGGGTCCTGGCAGGGGGGCTGGGGTCCTGCTCCTCTCACTCCGTGGGGCTGGGAATTGTCAGGAAGGGAGGAGCATCCTCTGACATCCATGAGGGAGGAAGAGAACCCCACCTGGTGCCTGCTTGGAGCATCCCTTTAGTATTTACCAGGCCAGGCTATATGGGAGAAGCTGCCCCATCCCCATGGGCACTACCCAGCCCCACACGGGCAGCCCCAGCAGAGAGAGTGAGGGCTGGACGGGCCATGGAGTCTGAGTTCCATGACACTGAGTGTCCCTGGGCAGGGCCCATCGCTGTGGGTCTGTGTGTGGAGTGAGGCGAGGTCTCTCTGCCCCAGCTCTGGGCTTCCACCGAGGGCTAGGACCACAGACCCAGCCCTGCCCAGCAGGGCAGTAAAAGCAGATTCTGCCGAGCCCTCAGCGGAAACGTGATGGGTGGAAAACTCCCCCCTCCCTCCGCCACATCCGCCCAAGCTTCCTCATTTCTGCTCAGTGCCTGCTCGCCACTGCTGGGCAGGTTGGATGGACGGCTGATGGTCTGTGTGCATAAGTCGTATCTGTCTCACGATGGGAATATGGGCCGTGTGTCAGTTGTAACTGTGTGTCCACTGGAGATACACCCGCCAGACAGTGATCGATCATCTGGGATGGGTCACCAGAAAAAGACAACACGTCTTGAAAGAGGTGGCCCTTCCCTCTTCCTGGATTTCCAGCCTGTGGACATTGCGGATCAACCCCAGCTCTGGGCTCCCCAGAGGAAATATTTGTAGGCAAGATGGGCCATGAGAGGTATCACTGGAATTGTTCTAATCTATTGACTGTCGTTCACTCCACGTAGACTCCATGTGTCTATTAACCATGCAGCAGTTACAGCCGAGGGCACGCTGGGTTTGAGATGCAGCAGGGCCTCGCCCAGACTCCAGCCCCTCGTGCCCTGGTAGTGCGAGAGCTCAGCTTCACACATTCACAAGACTTGTGCTGTTACCTCCACAGGGTCTCTGGGGGAACCCCCTTCAGAACATGGCCCTTCTCGGGGTCCCCCTCTGTCTGTGGGGTTAAGCCGTAGGTCCCTCTACCTCTCTGAGCCTTCAGCACCCCATGTCTGCCGTGGACCCACTTAGGGTGTCCCCTCCCTCTGGACCCCCAGGGCCTTCACACAGAGGGAAATAATGCAGCCCTGTTTGCTGGACTGGCAGGACTCTCAGCCAAACCCAGCACAGGAA